CCCATCTGACACAAAAAGCTGTGAAAAAGTTCATTCAGTAAGAAAAAAAAAAAGTATCATTCTGAAAGCTTATTTAAGAATCAAGGTGAGATTGTTTATCAGAGGCTTAATTGGAATATGAGAAGATAGATGAAATGTCACATTGATTTTAAAAGCAGTTCATTGATGTCAAGGAGAAGCAGGCTGGGAATAAATTAAATCTTCATAAATGTCCTTTCCTCTGAGATGCTTCAAATGAAATGAAAGGGCTTTGCTTCCATCTGCCACCTCCATGATTCACAAAGTCACTCTACATTAACACCATAACACTGTATTATGTCCTTAGCCTCACACTCAGACTCCCCTCAACTCTCTGTTTGAAGTCAGGAGTGAGGGAAACACTGCAGCTGCTATAGAACCTGCTGTACAGCATCTGGGTTACCTGTTGCCTAGCAACCATGCTAATTAAATCAGTAATGGCAACAAAAAAAATTAAGTTGTTAAAAACTCTTTTATGCTGCATGTATCTGTAAATCCAATAAGTGGATTTGTTGTTAATGAATGTATCCATGGTGTCCATAATGGCTCTGTCAACCATTTGGTGATTGATTTTCTCTAATTAAATGAAGCTTTGACTACTGCATAATAAGAGGGAGAATATTAAATTGTCATTGTTGTTGTGCATTTGAATGAACCAATCACATTTACTGCACTGTTGTTTTCTGTGAGTCTCCGTTAGCTTACAGCCCTCAGCAGCTGCAGCTGAGAGCAACATATGAATTCATTTAAATGAATATGAACTGTAGACTGTATATGAAAAGACATGAACAATGTTGCATGCTGAGCCAAATGATGTGGGATACACAAGTATAGTTTTATCTGTAAAACAATTGTAGATCAGTTGTAGATTAACACGGCTTCAAGCAGGAAGGAAATTATAATTCACATATTCTCTTCACACTGGGTCTCTGCCTCCTGATTACAATGTAATTGAAGTCTCTGGGTTTTGTCTGTAGACTTTTCTGTCAGCCAACCTCAGAAGCTGATTGGTAGTTAAAAGGCCAGGTCACACACATTGTTGTGAACATTTTTCTACTGAAACTACTTTCTCCGCTTAAATATCAATCATTTGTTCCAATGACTTAAATGAATGAATAAATCTTTGTTTTCAAGGACAGATGACCTCTGGTTGGCCTTGCCAGTACTGATACTAAGTAGATCAGAAAACATTCATAAGCATTGTTTTTTTGCAATGGTTTCGAAGGCACTGACACAATAACCAATAAAGTAACAGTTTAGATTTTTAAATACAATTCATCAATGGTGTGAGCGACACATCAAAATTCCATTTACCTCCATTGTATTGGAGTGCAAGCAGAAAGGACTGACCCTTTAGACCCACTTACCTGTTATGTCTCTTTGCTGTCTATTCAGTGTGTTCTGCTTGCCCCCTGTTGTCAGTGTCAAGAGCCCACATGACTTCCTGACATGTGAATAAATGAATAAATAAACTTAATAAATATGAGTGAGGCTTTACAGCACTGGCCCTGAGTCAAGAGTAGCTTCTCCTCTAATTTAAATGAGACACATCAATATACTGATTGAAATCATATTAAGTTTAAATGGATGGTTTTGCATAATGCTTAAGCGTAAAAGTAGATGCATTTCCAGAAGTTTGTCAGAACCGGCCTAGAAAAGGGGGATATTTGAATATGCAATGACTCTCAATGTAATGGCTCAAAAATAAAAGTTAACACTGTAGTTTTACTGAAATGTTTTTCATGAAAATGTATGAATCTTAATTGAGATCTTAATGAAATGAAATAACAAAAAAACCTCTGCACAATATATGCATCCTGTGAATTTCCATCTCTTACCACTTGTGTGCGGTGAGGTGACTGGTTGATTGTGTCGCGTGATTTTGACTACACCATACAATGCCGTTTTCCATGGTGGACTTTCCATGAAGAAGAAGAAGACCGGAGGCAGAGGCGGGGACAACAATGACGACACAAGTGACGGCAATTCCTGCTTTAGATTACAATAAACCAAAGCTGATAACAAAAAGAGGCTTTGTTCTCCTGCTTCTGTTACTCAAAGGCTCCTCATGCGCTCCTTCTTACACAGACTGCAAAGAAGATTAAACTACTTTTATAGTTTGGATTACAGATGCTGTAATTTGCTACAATTTAAAATGTTGTATCCGTGATTTCTTCTAACGAAGCGGAAAAGGAGAGCCAGTTTCGAGCTGGCAAAAGATGGCCTGAAAACACTCTGACAATCTGAACTGGGAGTTTTACACATGCTGCTGGATGTCCAGACCCAGAGGTTGTGTTGCTGACAGAATACATTAGAGCATTTGCGTAGGCAGTAAGCTTCTGATCTCTTATTAACATGTCTAGACATTCACTGCCCCATCAGTCACAATAACAAAATCCTTGAAAATATGGCGAAAACCATTGCATTCTCTGAAACATCAGCTGGGACTGGAGAAAACTGCACATACTGGACATGTGCAGTGATCCTGTAGAGACCCAGAGTCTTGTGTTTTATACATAAATTATATACAAGTAAAAATGTATAAACTTTCACCAATTTCCCTGGTTCACTGCAGGATGGTGTTTGCATTCCAGTAAATTTAATAATAGAAGACTTTGAGAAAACAATATCACCACAAGGTTCATTAAGTAGCTGCTCTGGAGCTCTCAGTGATATCACATAGTCTTCATCAACAGATGGCATTGGGCCGGTTATGATAAAAGTGTAGATGTTCAAATTTCCATTTTTCCTAAACAGCACTACCTCTCATACATTTCTGGCTTAAAAGCCGAGCTTCAACGTTCATTCTTGACCTAGGAAACAGACGCTAATGAAGACAGAGTGATACGATCAAAAGCTCCAAAACAGGTACTAAATGGACTTTGATGTTAGACTGTTTTCTCAACGTCTGTTTTCAATATGGGAACAGCCAAAATAAATAAGAAGTCTTTAAAGTCCTCAGAAAAAAAAGGAAGTCTGTAACTCCATGACAACTGGGCAAACTCTACTTGCTGATGTCGATCATGTAATATGATCAAAAGCTGCACAGCAACTACTAAATGGACCTTACGGCAACTGCTGTTTCCTAGGCCAAGCATGAACAGTGAGCTTCAATAATGACTTTGTTCAACATTGGCATCTTATGATAATTCAATAAATTACATCTTCCTTTGGTTTCAAATCTTTCTCTTTAACATTTAATATCCATGACTAAATATGAGTTAAAGTTTGTGGGTCTGGACTGTGTGGGTGTGGTTTGATCAAACTTGATTCACAGTGACCTGGCAACATAAGCAAACCACCCACTTACTGTCATCAGATTATATTTCAAATGTTGATAAATTCTGATTGAGTCCAGCCCACATCAAGCCAGTCTGTGTCATACCGCTGAACTGTATCTGTTGTCAAGCTCTGAATGGCCGCAGGAGCAACAGATTGTTGTTTGAATAAGCTTTGACTCAAGCAAGGTGGGAAATGTGAGCCAAGGCTGGTGTTTTCTTAAACACTTACACCACAGAAATCAATGATCTTCCTGTTTCATGTAACGCTTTGAAGTTCCAACAGCATTTTGGGCTTAATATTCTCTCTGTAAATCTACCAAAGCAGCTACTGTACACTGCAATTACTGTCTAATTCAACCACTAATACAGTCATCACTGGAGTAGATGTATAAAAATAAACATATTATTCATCTCATTCTTTTAACTTGTAGCAATGGATATTGTTTCCAGTGAGGCGTGACTGCACAATTTCGCCTGATAACAGCATGGCTAGGATGCGGCATAGATTCAGGTTCTTTGTGGACATAGCAGGGGATTGTGGGTAGCCCCAAAGGGAGTTACGGCTTGACAAATATTTGAAGTGCAGCCCAGCTCTGTTTACTTCAGCCAAAGCTTCAGGACGAGGCTGCTACTATTGAATTATGCATCACAAAGAAGACAGAGTCAACAGTGACAGTGTCCGAGTGGCAGAAATTTGAAACTGAAAATCATTTCACAGATTTTCTGATGATATAAAATGTGTGCTTTTATCTCTGCTCTTATTTGCTTTATTTCACAAATCGAACAAGCAATTGATTTTCAGGAAACCTGGGAGAAATCAATAAAATTTATCATGGGGGACTAAAAGATCTCCGACCTGGATGATTTTCTTTCTTTCTTTCTTTCTTTCTTTCCCTTTCCTTCTTTTTTTTTTTCACATACCAGTAATATTTTTCCGTTTTTTGTCGCACCTTGGGTTCCAGAAAACAAGTCTAAACACACAGTTAAACTCTGAAAATGTCACATTTTTAAAACATAAATTTGCATACTGTACATCTGCATTTTTCATCTTATGAAATCCACTTACATTTAAAATACAAATGATGACGACACCTACAACATTAGAAGAAATGCAAATATCCCAAAAGATGGGTTTGAGGAAAAAAAGGGCCAACAAAGGGCCACTTCAACCCAAATACTGAAGTAGAACTTGGCAAACATGGACACTGAGATGTGTTCATTTACAGAGTGCAATCACATTATAACCATTTTACAAAATGTTTTGTTTGGAGGTTCAGTATCCTCACGTGATTATTTGCTATGGAAATATATCATCCAGTATCAGTGCATCGCTCAGGATAATTGGATTTGTACAGTGTTTTCAATTAACTACTGACGCCAGCTCTCATCAAAAAAAGGGAGATTCAAAAAGGTATCTGCCCTCTCAGTCATGTAGTCATTGTAGAAGTCTTTAATTATGGAATTGGATTGGACCAAGTGGCAGTGAAGTTGGACTGAGCAGACATATTTCTCACAGCAGTGTAAATATTTGATCAAATTGATTTTCGTCCAACAAGAAAACTGCAGCGCCTCAGGTATCTGGACTTCTACAGTGGCTACAACTACTTCTGAGAAAATCAGAAAAAAGTCAAAAGGTTTAAATTAACCAAAATAAACCAAGCATCTCACCGAGCAGCTTGACACAGTAATATCCTGCCGTGGCCTGGTCGACCCACTGTAATGTGCAGTGGGTCCAGTGTTGCAGATCAGAGGCCAGCAGGAATACTTCATTGGTCCACAGTGGGAATGGTGCTGACCTTATTGTTTCTGCTGATCCTCCTTTCAGGCCGTGGCCTGGGCAGTTTGGTCTGGATCAGCTCCTCAGGTGTGTTACCCAGTGGAGGCAGCAGCCTCTTCTTGCTGTTCCTGGTCTCAGGTAACCACTGAGGAGGGAGCTCAAACGGTCCAAAACCGAACTGTGTAGAGTCTTCAGCTTCTGTAGGCGTGGCTGGCGCCACCTGTGACGAAGAGGCATAAGCACATGTGTGTACCGGAGAGGCCCGGGGTGCTATGATTGCAGGAGGGCCCTCTTTGGTGATGACCAGCCCTCCCCCTGTGCCCTGCAGAGGGTCCTTTTTGGTGATCACCTCCCCTCTGAGGCTCCCTAGTCCCAACCCGCCCTTGAGGTCCTCTTTCGGCCCAGTGCAGGTTCCTGATCCTTGAGAAGGCATCTCATTCTCCACATCCTCGTCTTCCTCCTCTTCCTCAGAGGGTCTGAAGATCTGTTGCTGGCCGATGTTGAACATCTCCAAAAGTTGGCTCCCAGAGCGGCCGGCTGTCTCCAGCCCCACCGGCTCCCCGATCACCCCCTCTGCTCCTAAAGAGGCCAGACCCCCAGTGCTGACCACGTTACGGCGACTGTAGCGTCTGTGAATCCTGGCCAGCAGGTCCAGCCAGCTATGACGCGCTGAGCGGTTAACAGACAGAAACAGGAGGGGGTTGGTGAGCAGAGACACCTTTGGGAGCCAGAGGGCTGTGAGATACAGTGAGATGGGCAGCTCCTTGGTGTCTGCCAAAATGGTGCGATAAACAACCAAGGCCCCGTAGGGGGCGCTGCAGGCAGAGAAAGCCAGCACCACAGCCAGAAGAGTGGCGTGTAGCTCGGCCTCTCGCTGGGACACATACGGGATGGAGATGCTGTTCTGGGGAGTCCTCAGCGCCGCGATGATCACCTTCTTCTTCTGGCTGGCACTGAGCGCTCTGCGGATCAGCAGCATGAAGAGAAAGACCAGGGCGAGAGGGAGGATCACTGTGGTGACGTTGTAGATCAACACATACACCATGTGGCCCAGGGAGCGGGCGTGGTCGTCTGAGCAGGATGAGGTGACATACACATCCGTCACGTTGGTCACAGCAAACACGGGGAGGCTCGCCACCACCGCATGAACCCAGATATAGATGACCAGATCTCTGGATCTTGCATCTGAGATCTTCCTCTCTAACGGGTACAGCACAGAGTAGTATCTACAGAAAGAAAGCACAGGTGTAAACAATAAAATGTATGATGACTGAATTTAGTTGAGTTTTATTGTGCATGCTGACTCACTGTCACACTCCCATGACTTATTACTTATTGGGACACTTGAATAGAACAGAGCCATCCTTAATGTTAAGAGCAACACCTGTGCTTTTCTTACTATGACAAGTGAAAATGTCTGCTGTGGAAAAGCACTGTTGTCTGACGACAGCGTTGCCTGAAAGCAGTCGTGCTGCGATGGTTTATGAAGATCTCTCCCTTTTTTGTGAGTATATTTTATTGGCATTTTGTGAGTCCTGAAAATCTTATATTAAAATACAAATGAACAAAGTGGAAATAAACATTTATGTACCTAAAGATCCGCATAAATAGCAGTAGCTGAATTATCTTGCTCAGTACATAGATGTCCACATTTGTTTGTTGCCATACAGTTAATTACATAAGTGAAACTGTGACCCTCTTTCACTCAAGTAGAGCTTCAAGTAAGTAAGTACATAAAACTCACTGCACTCACTACATTAGCTGCAATACTGACAAAGGGAGAAAGAGGTGCAGTTATTTTGAAGTATAATCTGCAGACATCAACTCTATCCTGCAGCCTCTGTAAAACAGTTACAGTGCTATCACAGTGTATTAGAGTGGCTTATTAAAATCATTTGTCAGCACTGGTTTGTGAGGTATTCTTCTATAAAGCGTGAAAATGTTCCATAAAATGCTTCTGTAAAATACTTTAAAAACCCAATCATGGGTGAAATGGACACATATCAGTTGAGAAAACAAAAATGAAGGATAAATCTGCCATTTTTTTTCAATAGCAACTAATTTGAATGTGCTAATAGCACTCATAATCAAATCAATAACAAAGGTGGCTTTAATTTTTTGTTGACTGAGTTGAGCTTTTGAAATAATGCTATAACCCTTAAGGGGTGAATATTGAATGCTCCAATAATTTTATTGGAATGGGATGAAAGGATTTTCTCTCCCTTTATCTGTGGTGTATTACCTTATGCAGAGGTTGAAATCGTGTGGGAGTGTTTTTAATGTACAGCCACAACAGCATAACTAGATCTCCTCATAGCTAATCAGATAATATGGGTCTCTCACCCATGATTGTCTCTTAATCAAAAGCAAAACAAATCGCATGAAGGACTTTCCTATTTCCCCGGATAGTCTCTTCATCAGCACATGCGAGTGTATGAGTGTGTGCGTATAGAAGCCTATAACTGTGCTGCAGTCTCAGCCTGCCGGTATATTCACAGCCTCGATTACCCTCCTTGAGAATTAATAATTCATTGGTTTAATAGCATTCTGCTTGTATGAGTTGCTATGGAGGTGATATAATCTTTGTAGCAGTGAAACCAAGGCTGAGATGAGGCTGCAACGACACAGCATCCGACTGCAGTCACCATAAAAAGAAGAAGAAGAAGTTGCCCGACGGTCTGCAATGGACTTCACATGACAATATTCACATCCTGGTTTACAATGCTGGTAAATCTGAATGAATTATACTTTTGTTCTCATGGTTTCTGTAACATGAGCAGTTGAATCGTGGAGGAGCTAGCTGAGCTAACGATGTGTAGCATGTTAATATTGACAAAAGTTTCAACATTTATCTTTATGCGTGTTGCTAGGCTGCTTTGAATGAGATAAACTGGTCGCAGTCCAACAGGTGGAGGTTTCCTTCCATCTCATACAAATTTCCCTGTTTTAATAGTCTATCCTATAATATTTATCTCCTATATTGCTCTGAAAAGCGCATCAAGGTTGGCAACCCTAATTTTATCAGTCATCCCTCACCATAGTTTATTATAGTACAACAGTTACCATGGTCAAAATACATGAAACTGGGACTGTCCCCTTTTTTATTTCATAGATACTAAACATTGGATATTTTAATGATATATTAACTGTCAAACTGGAAATGTCCCTGGTTTTCATTTCAGAGATGTGGTCGCCTTTGCTACCCTGTGCGAGTGCCCTGTATGAGTTTACATTTTCTGACTACACATGTAGTCATACTACACAAGTTTGGATTTTTAAGACAGATTATGATATTTTTTTAGGCTAAATATTTAAACATTTTAGTTTCATTCAGTTTTTAGACAAATATCAGAATAAGTTAAAATAAAAGGGCTTTCCACAGGCTCTTTCTCTGGCTGAGAAATATATATGGGATATATACTGTCTACATACACAGTTATATACTTATACTAGCTAGCTATACACTGGGTACATACATACAGAGAGAGAGAGAGACAGAGAGAGAGAGAACTGTAAATGAAAAATGTTTAGGTGAGGTAAACCTTGCTTCCAGGTAAGTAAAGGCATGATCAGCATTACTTCTAAGAGTGTGAGACCTTATATAAGCAGCAGCCATCTCCGGCTGCTTTTGGCTGCAGCTTTTAGCGCCGCAGGGAGGCCTGGGACACGGCCTCTCAGCACGGCATACGCATGCTCCATCAATCGCAGACCCTTACCCCCTCTCATCCACGCCACAGGGTGCAGATGGAGACTGAAAAAGACACAAGCAACCTTCCAGAGTTTATTCCTTGTCTTGAGTCCTTTTGGCTCTGCTTGTGCAGCCCAGATATTTGTGCTCCATTTTCAGGAGGAGAATTACTTCAGCTGACTCAGCCAGGCAATGTATTGATAAACTGATCAGAGAACCATCCACTTCTCGCAAGTGGCACTTCCATATCCTGTGAAGTGAGTGGGATGTGCCCGCTAGCCTTTTTCAAACATATATTTCAAAGTCAGTAGCTCTGGCTACAGAACTGAAGTGAGCAAAAAACAAAACATCACTCATGCTACTCAAGGGCAGAGTGCCCTTATGGTTTTCACCCGTTTTGTTATATACTAATTTCAAGTGAAAACAGCAATTATCTGTGACTAAAAAAAGTTTTTTTCTCCGTCTACTTTAACTACGTGTGTAACATGAAAAGGATTTCATGTCAAACATGTGTTTCCCAACTGACCTGTCGAGTGCGATGGCGCTGAAACTGAGCACGGTGACGGAGCAGAAGAGTTTATGGAGGAACTTGATGGCCTTGCAGACCACCAGAGTGTGAAGCCACCAGCAGCAACGAGGGCTGGCTCCGAGCGCCACGTCGAAGGGAACGCACACCAGGCCGGCACAGATCCCCGAGCACGCCAGGTTCTTGATGAAGCGATTGGTCACAGATTTAAAGACGTTTGTGCAGCAGGTGCACCACAACACTGTGGCATTTCCTGTGGGGAGAAAGGTGAAGAGCTTTAGAATAAGATCAGACATACAGTTTGTTTTCTGATTTAGTTGGTTGCCTCTATGTATTTTAGGTTTTTATGATCTACTTACTTGACTTGAGACATGCAACATAAACTAAAACATTTTATTTATTGAATGGATTTCGTAGCCTGGCAGGATGGCATGTACCCATAAAGACTAGACTGCTGCTTTCACTTGTAATCAAGTCTGTAAAAGGACAAGAATCTAAATTTTCAGACATATTGATGCCGTTATTTTTGCCACATGAATTCTGCCGTCATTGTTGTGACATGTCCAACTGAATGTGACTAAATAAAGAAATCCGTCAAAGTTGGAGGACACCACTCCGAGCACTAGTGTGAACACATCCTTTAACAACTAAAATATTTATAGAGGTTGAGCCCCTGGATTTTTCTGTATCCTCTCCTCATGGTTGTTTAGGTTTCCTCCTCTTTCAACACTACAGAGAGAAAATAGTTGGGTCGCCTGGAGACTCTAAATTGCCCATTGGTATGAAAGAAGGCTGACCGTCTGTCTAATCTCTGTGAGTTAGCACAGATGGATGGATGATTTAATGACATAATATGTTATAACACATTGGTGCCAAGCTCTTCATTTTACACCATGCACCAACATTAAATTTATCAACTGGTGTCATTAGCCATTACCTTTTTAAAGCCAAACTGAACGTGCAGCTGATTAACTCATCTGCACGTTCATGCTGCCAACCTCCTGCTCTACCACATCCCGAAGATGTTCCACTGGATTCAGACCTGGAGACTGGGGAGGCCACTGAAGTACACTGAACTCACTGCCATGGTCATTAAACCAGTTTGACTTTAGCTTTGTAAGATGGTACGTTAACCATGCAAGAAGTAGCCTGCATGGTTCAATTCAAACCATGATTGTTGATAATAAGAGGCCCAAAGATCAGGCCACGTTTTTTCCAGTTTTTAATTGTTCGGTTTTGCAGAGTCTGTTTCCACTACAGCCTCAGATGTCTGTTCTTGGCCGACAGGAGTGGAACCTGATGTGGTCTTCTGCTGTTATAGCCAATCTACCTCGGGGGTTGATGTGTTGAGCTCTCTGAGATGTTTTTCTGTTGTTGTGTTTTTTTGCACCGTTTTGAATGAACATTAACTGAAGCTTGTGACCTGTATCTGCAGGATTTTATAAACAACACTACCACACGATTGGCTGTTTGGATAACTGCATGAATAATGGATAATAATGAATAAGCAGGTGTAGGTGTCCCTAATAAAGTGCTAGCTGAGTGTAATTTTTTTTTAACTTTAAGCTACTGAGGATTGAAATCACAAGGAGCTCTTTGCAGGGAGGAGAAATCAATTAAACCTGAACTGAGTGAGACAACACACACTCAAGTGCAAGCAGGGAAAATGTGGCGTTTTTATGTTAAAATCCCTCCATAATTTGGAGCGTCGAGAGAGTAATGATTGTTAATTAGGTTTAAAAAGGTGAACTTTATACTCCCTGTGGAGCACTGACTGATGTCAGGTCACATAGAGACACGTGTGATACCAGCCTCTCCAAATGTAATTACCCGCAGCGTGTGAGCTGTACTCTCATTGTGAGAAACAGAGCAAGATGTTCTCTGGTGAGGAAAGCTGTTTTATTTTTTTATTTTTTTTCCTCCGGTTATTTGTTTCTCGTGTCTGTAAATGTTCAAAAACAGGCCACAGTCACTCTGAGAAAAACATTTCTCTTCTATCATTTGGCATGCAAGAAAAAAATACAATGGTCCTGAAAGAAACTCTGGGGAAGATTAGATATAACAATCAATTGTTGTGGATTAGGTTATTGAGACATGAGAGGCATGAGAGCTTTTAGATGCTGCTGGAGGAATCTGCTTTAAAGGGAACACGGTGTGCTTTAGTGCTAGTTTCTTACTGTGCAGGATTTTGGTAACAAACTGTGTGACAGAAAACCACACAGTATTTCATATCTACTATTTCCTGGAAACCCTAATGTAGAGGTAATTAATGATGAGGTATGCTCAGCTTCTGCTTTCTGTGAACTTGACTCACATTGGATAATGAGATTAGCACAGCATTACATAAGAGAGGATTTTTTAAGATTCCAACATGTACAGACTCTGCTATATTGATATTATAACTTGTGTTACAATTATTAATTACATAATTATTACAATTATTATGGCTATCTATTAAGGGGTTGACGAGCCAACACCTTTTCAGTCTATAAAAAGAAGAAGAAAAATGATTATTATTATGATATTCTGTATCTATATTGAATGTTTTCTAATCTGGCATCCCTATGACTGTCACAGAAATGACCCATGATTGTCTTTGTATAAGAATTTAGGGGAAAAATACCTAAAATTGTACAAATCTCAGGGGATAAGGATGAAAAAGCAACTGTCTTAATCAAAATACAAGTGGTTATTTTTAACCTAACAATTTCACACATGGTAAAACTATATAGATTTAACCACTGATAGTTTCCACAGTGTTTACAAATCACTATAGGTAATAAGTCTGGTGCAAGATGAAGATTTTTGACAGGAGCTGCGAGAGTCTAACTATAGTACAGCTGCAATGGTGCGATGTCACACCTACCCAGCAGTTGCAATACAACTGACGTATGTGGGATCACAGTTTCAAAACAATATTTAATATTAGAAAAACACGTCCTGTTACATGCATTTGGGAGAATTATCCACCTAAACAAGGACACAGGGAGCTTCCTAATGTCTCTCATAAGAAGTAAGGTTTTGTGTTCTGAGAGATTTTATTATAAGCATTAAGGCTGGTGATCCTACACACATCTGTGACAAAATCATCAAGTCTAGATAGACATTACGTAACTGAGAATGTTGGTTTTTAAGAACATCTATAAAAATAAAAGTTTATTTGTGCAGAAGTGCTGTCACAAAGAAGGACAAACTAATAAGATGTGTACTTGTAAACGTCTTCATGCCGACAACATTGGGACCTTTTTTATAGTCAGCGCTTCCATTGCCTGTAAAACCACTTTGTCCTTTTGTGCCTCAAATACTCACCTGGCACTTGATGAACACCTTGGCAACCATTCTCAAAGGAGCCAATGGGGAGAAAGAGCAAACACTAAACATGATTGCTTTTTTCCACTTAACAAATGGCAGTCCAATTACAGGTAGCAGCATGAACCCATAACACTTTTTTTTTTTTTTTTTTTTAAAAAGGCTTCTTTTGTCTGCTTCATGTACATGAAAGTATATTATGTCATTTCTGGACTGGTGTTAATGAGCTGTTATCAGTGACGTAGCTCATGCAAACATAGTAACATATGCTATTAAAATTCGAAGTGTGAAACATCATTAACACACTTAACACCTTCATAGTTGCATCCCTGTGGTGCTGGGAGTATTCTGGTTTGAATGAGAGACCTCTTTATGAATGGTAACCCACAGAGAAAGAGAGAGCCAGATCTCCACATAGTTCACATAATTCCTCACAGACCTGATCCTTAGTGCCACACACACCGTGGCACATTAATCTGATTTACAGTCAAACTTTGATCTGTACTTTATCAGAAAAAATGGCTAATAGTCTCTGCTTATTACTGGGAATGCTAAAAAGAATAGTTCAACATTTTCAGATATATGCGTATTGATCGATAGTGCTGTCATGTATGTCCATTAAATATGGAGTCAAGAGTTTTAAGATTTCACTCAGTGTAAATATCACAACGCTTCAATGAAGAACAGAAACAAGCCAAGAAAGATAGATAGATAGAATATGAAGACTTTCCTCATCTTAAAGTGACTTCAACTGTTTACACCAATACAAAGTACACATAAGAGCAATACTGTCAACCACATGCACTGGTTGTTGCCAGAGTGAGACCTTTAATGTGTAATGTGTAACATGTGGTTTGAATAACATGAGGTCACAGCTTCTCTTCACCTCTGGGAATCTCTGTGTGTCACGGACAAGGGAGGGACGTGAAGCGGAGACACACAAAGCATTTATTTACAGCCTGTAACCACTTTCTCATGTCCGTGCATCAGGCGACACACTTGATCTGTGGAGATATTTAACACACACTTGAACCCTGACTGCATCTATCAAAGGTGTATCAAAGGTCTGGACACCTCAGCACACACTGACTATGGTTATTTCCACAAGACAATGTGAACCAACATATCATCGCTTATCATCCCTATTATAATAAGTGCTGTCTGAGTATATATCCTGCTTTTATCATAGCACAAAAACCTTTTTTTTATATCCTCAAAAGTGGCTTGAGAATTAAGCACACACATTTTTGAAGCTTGAAACCTCAAGTACCATCATAATTTTTATTATTCATTGCTGTATTCTCAGGGTTATTTATGTATTCATGGTCAGGTCGAGAGTTGGCTGCTGATGAATTTCCTTTTTTAGGTGCATTGGTTGTTTGAATAAAGACTGATCTTAAAATTAATTCGATATTTGATGCATTTTATTTTTAATTCATACAGCGACAGTATTCTTGCATTGTATAACTAATATACATGCACTCTGTGTCGCTGGAAATGTAAAGTTCTCTCTTCTCCTGAGACAGAGAGAGAGAATTATTTCATTAGCAAAGGGCAACTTTTGCTTCAGTGCGCAAGGATCATGTCTGTGTTTTTTTTACATGTTTAATTTACTTCATTTCACTTGTTGCTTTCCAGAGGTCCAGTTACATATTGTAGAAACTTCTGCCTTAAAGAGAAATGTGCTGGATTTCTTATATATTTTACATTTTGAAGTCATATAAATTGGTTATTTGAGAAGAAAATAGATGTATTATATTTTTTCCAAGCCATATCTACACCGTATAGAGAAAAAATAGGTATTTCCAACCATGCTGCCAAAAGGCCCACATTTCTGTCATGCTTCCCCGACCCTGCCACATTACACTACAGAGCAGGAGGTGGTATTGAGTCACAGCAATAGTCAAATTTTTTTTGCCAGTCTTGGTGTCAATTTCACCATATGTCATCATGGTGAACAATTTGTGCAAGTGCCACAAAGTCCATGCTTTTCCAAACAGCACTACTGTGTGTGTTTGGTGCAGCGAGGAGTCCGGATAATACAGTCACCTTTATGACAAACATCACATTCATATGCAGCGCTCATTTTAGGCAGGAGGATTATATTTCTGGCTGCCGATGTGATGGAGGGGATGTCAAAGCCAGGACTGTGTGAGACTGAGGCGCAGTTCACACAGCTCCTTCCTCACTCTCATCATCATCATCATCATCTGCAGCAGCAGCAGCAGCAGCCTCTGCTTCTTCTGGCACCAGCAGGAACATTTGTCTCAGAGCCAGCACAGACTCAGGTTGAAAGCAGCTTGAACAGTAAGTGTTTGCTACTAATATTTGCCAATTTAATGGTCGAATAGGTAATATCAGCTAACACCTGTCAAGTTTAGCACCACAACCAATCTAACCGTCTCCCATTGGGTTGTCAACTTCAGAATAAATCTTTAATGAATGAAGGCACCAAATGCACCAGTCCATTGCTTCCTGTATGTTTTCCACATTAAAAGGTAACTCCTTAATGTGATGCAGGTTGATATCCAATATTCAAGTTAGCTTCAAGCTAACTAAACACACAGAGACAGACAGACAACACGCGGACACACAATTCTGAACAAAATGACAAAACACTTGCACTTGGCCTCCAGTTCAGTAAGAATCTCTGGTTTGGAAATATGCTTTACCAACCAAGCTTAACTTAAAGTAATGTAAAGCTCAAGAGTCTTCAACTGTATCCTACATTATATGCATGTTTTGTCCTTGGTGCAGTACACCAATATCCCAAAGCATAAGTTTCTCTATAGAAGTGCGTCTGTATGGAGTAACAGCTGCAGTGCTGTAGTAGCTTCTGACAGTAACGTTTTCAAAAATTACCACAAAATTGTTTGTGTATCTTGACTTCTTTATAATTTCACAATAACAGAAGGAAGTGGAGTGCACAGTGAGTCTGACCACTATTTGGAGACATGACACCTTGTCATTAAATTTAAATGATAATGGATCACAATCTTGGCAAATGAAGTTGACAACATGCAGTACCCACTAATGGGTAGACATTGGGCAGCAGTTGTTTACAGTTTTGAGTGGAGAATGCCAGAAAAACGGACTGCTGCTTTGGTTTTATCAGTATAATGTCAGATCTTTTTTCCCCTAAAACTGATTCTTTTTGCCATGTTTTAAATTATGTAAAATAATCATTTACTTGTGTCCTATATCGGTAAGAAAAGCAAACCTTTAGAGATTACCTAAACATTGTACAATCCATTCACATGTTGCATTACCCAGGACTATTACAGAGACACAATACTGCTTACTATTCACCTGAAGTCTTTCAGGCTTTGATGATTTGAAGACTTGTTTGCTGTTGCAAATTTCCTCAGATATTTTTTTATTATTATTCTGGCACAAAGGATGTCCCCATAAGTTCCCCTGGCCCAGATCTGGGAAACAAAAGGGTGAGGCTAATGGAAACATGGAGAGTGTGAAGGTTTAATGAATAAAGCAGTTAAATAAAAGTCTACAACGTTTTCATTTGCACACATATGGTGTGATGTGATGCTGGGCCTGCGTGTACGTGTGTATGTGCATGCACAGACTTACCGAGCAGCGAACCTATGAGGATGAAAACCTGAATGGTGGTGGTGAAGTCCCGGTAGGCTTGCTCTCGGATGAGGCGCTGTTCCTCGCCCAACCCGGTCCCCTCGGCAGGTGGGCTGCTGTCCCACCGGGTCGGCGGGCTCGAAGCGTTCAGGAGATCCAACCAGAGGTGGGATGCCGTGAAATTGGCTGCACCGTCCCCGAACGTCGGAGCCCGGCTCCCACTATCCATGACGGTTCACCCCGCGATCCTCCCGGTTTTTAAGAAGGCTGGCGGGATGTCAGCAGCCAGCAATGAAGAGGCATTTGGGATGAGGATTATGATGATGATGATGAAGATGATGATGATGATGATGATGATGATGATGTTGCCTTGCAGAAAAAAAGGGGGGGAAAAAGCTACAGATTATGTGCTGAGGAGATGTCAGTGAGACGGACACAGGTAGGCAAGGCGCCCAGCTGCCTGCAATGAGATGATGCTCTGTCAGTGAACATGTCTGATAAATTTGGAAAAAAACATGGTGTAACAACCGCACATAATAGCACAGGGAAAAGATGGAAAGCCTAGGCTGGGTGTCCCTTCATGTCTCAATGCGGATGCATGGTAGAAATCATTCAGAGCCACTGAAATCCGTGCGCAGTGAGCGGCTGGTTGGACGCTGGTGCTCTCTGACACCCGGTGCACCCAAAACCACACCGGGCTGCGAAGTGTCCATTCCGGGAATGAAGCTTGCAGCACCGAGAACACACTCCCATCACCTCTCGTCGTCCAGAAGAAAAAATATTGTATCTGACAGGCTGTTACTCCTGCTGCCGCTGCCGCTCGCACTGTCAGAGGCTGTTTATTGGTAGTCTGGCTGGTGTGGGGAGTAAGCAAGTGAATATTTCAGTGTGAGGTTCAAGACTGGAGAGGAGAGCCCCTCCTCTTCTTAGAGCACCAAGAAACTCCACTGAATCTTATGAATGACAAGTGTGGAGAGAGGGGAGTGTGACCACATTACACACTGATCACCGATGGTGAATAGAACATAGGTCAACTTCATATAGGTTGTCATCATCACTCAAAAAGAGTTAGATTAAGAAAATATTCCTTTTAAAAGGAAAATGTTCAGGAGTAAAACTTATACGTTTCTGAAGCAACTGAGAAATCATTATGATGTTTAAAAAGTTGGTTAAATTCTCAGGAAAAGGTAATAACTTGACTTTACCTGGTGGTCTTCTTTCACAATACTGCTGCTGTTGTCTTGTTCAGTCTGTGCCCTCACAGCAGCTTGTGACATTCCTCATTCCATTGCTGAAAATACAAAAAATAGGAGCAAGCAAACCTCAATAATACAAAACATTTTATCATATACTTTATGTTTCCATTAATAACTGAATCCACTGTAGTCTCCTTTGTGTAGTCCAAGGGCCCCATTGACAAGATCAATGGGTAAAAGCATTAGAATAAAAAAAGACTGGGGTCAGAGGCTGCTTACTTTTCAATATATCTCTGAAAACAAAATGAAAATGTTTCGCTCTTTCATAATAATACAGTACAATGCTAAAATGCATTCACTGCTTCCATTTTAAAACATTTTTGTTCGGTTCGTAACATATGTGTGGCATTTAATTAAACAAAAAGGACAACTGTCTCAACAAATTGGAAGTCTTTCCTCCCTTGTGTGAGATGTCCTGCATGTCCACACCAGATTCTGTAGCGTGTCCATAGAGATGGACGTGGAGTCAGCGTCTTTTCTCCAACTTCACAATCAGACTCACTTCTTTTCTTTGAGGCAGGTTACACTGTTAATACAATCCCACAGGAAAGGGTTTACATCATCAAAGTGAATTCACAACCCTTTGAAACAGACAAAACCCTTCATGTAAAGAGATGTAAAGTTTTTGAACTTTGACATGGGAATAAAACCACAGTAGTGGGATTAATGTTTTCGTTTCAAAATCTTTCATCATGAATGTCGTCCTCTCCTCTTCTGCTTCACATCGCACTGTATGAGAGAACACACACTGTATCTCTCATTAGGTGTAAGACACATCAGAGGTAATTGCAGGAGGGCCGAACTGCCACTAGATGTCATCATTTGCACAAATGATAATTCACATTGATGGAGTTGATTCTGGGAGACTCACTGCTGTACTTAACTGTATTAAAATGATATTGATTGGTATTAGAGAAGGCTTTATGATCACAGGCTGTAACAACAAGATGATGCAACTGCTGATCAGCTTAGTGCATGACTTTAATTCACTGTGACCAACACATTGTTCTTGCCATTTACAATCATCGTCCAACAGCCGTGATATCACAGTATTTATCAAAATAGCAAAACAAAAAAACACATTTCTAGTATTTTCTACAGTTAAGTGTTTTCATTTCATGTTTAGAGCTCTGCAACGTCTACTTCTATTCATAAGAATATTTTTTCTGATAATTTATATCACAAAATCAATCCATGAAGAACAATCATGTTAATGTTCAATTGGAGGAACTATGCTCCACTGTTCTCCTGAACATGTGATGATCCCTCATTTTAACCCCTTGTTTTATATTTCAGTATTCTTGGAATTAATTTCTACACTATCATTTTGTGAAACAATAAAAAAATACAATGGCTTCATCACAACTCAATACCGACCAAAGTCAATAAAATACACTACTGAATTACAGAGTAACTCAACTTTTATCAACAATACTGGTAATTCAGAATGTTTATACTGCATTTGGCACAGCAGCAAACAGTGTTATATACAAAGACCTTATCCCTAATGATTAATGATAGTATCCAATCACACAGTGTGATACTCATTTCATAGTCTATGATGTATAGGTTGTTATCACAGCAGACATTTTGTCATATCATAGTAGGAAAAGCACAATGGTAATTAACTCAAATAGTGATGGCTGTAGTCCATTTAGATATGTCACTGGGCTGCCTATAGTGGAATACTTAAATGGAAAATACCTTCTGTGAAAACTTCAAAATGTTTTTAAAAAATGATCTGTGTCTGTTTCAAGTCTAGATAAGTCCAAAAACAAAAGGCTTTAACATAGAAATGCTCATACAGTCTAATTTAAAAACCCTTAGACAAATTAATTCATTAGAAACTCAAGGCTAAGCATAGCTAAGGATGACCATTGTGGGATGCTTGATACACTTGATGCAGCATTGCTAGCTAACAAGTGCTCTTGTTGTCCAAGTGGCTCTTGAAGAACTCCTGGACTCTTTCCCACAGGTCCAGCTGAGCCTCAGAGTGGGCTTTTGGCTCCCCACCAAACACCACCGCTCTCCCTACTGCTGCATGAAAACCAGACGGACAGTAAGGCATGTGAGGGACTTCCAAAAAGTGTCCAGCTTTAGGATAAGTAACCAGCTGGAACGATTCTTTGCCATGATTTCTCAGTGTTGCGGCAGCCTGTTGTGCAAAAAAAGCACTGTTCCAGTTGTGGTCATCTTCAGAAGCAGCGAACAGGAACTGGCAGCTGGCACGTTCAATGGGAATCAAAGATGCCCTGTTCTTCTCCAAGGCAGGGTCCGGTAAGGCATCGCGTATATCTACAAGCCCAGAGTCTGTGATTTTAACATTCTTTATGACAGGGGGGAGTGCAGGGATTACAGTGTCTTTGTAGTGTAGAGGGATCACAGTATTTGCACTACAGCCATTAATAAAGACGGTTGCTGAGATCCCTGAGAGGAAAGATGACATGGACAAAGCCAAAGCACCACTATGAGAGACTGATATGATGCCGATCCCAGGACCTTTGACCTGTACAGAGAGGTATTGCGTTAATAAGCAGGTGTACCTTTGCCAGTATGTCTTAAGTCTTAAGAGTGATGAAATATACTTTTGAGCGATAAATAACGATTCCTCAATTCCATTCGAAAACCAGGGCTTATATAAACTGAGGTTGCAACTAACAATTATTTTCATTACCTATTAATCTGCCATTTCCTTTCTTAATTAATCAATGAATAATTGCATCTAAAAACTGTTTAGCTTCTGTCACAGCCAAAGGTTTGTGTCATCACAAGCCAATAGATGGCAAGATAGACACAGCAGATACAAATATGAGAATAAATCATATTCTCACTTCAGTTGTTATGAATTACTTGAATGCTGTTTGAAGACGTAAAATAGCAAAGTAAATATCAGACTATAGAGATTCTGAGATTATTATCTTCAGTACTAACCTCTGGCTGCCTCCTCAGATATGTTATGCCCTCTTCAAAGTATTCCAAATCCAGGTTTGTAGGGTTTTTTGGTAAACCCTGGTAGCCATAATAGGCCAGTGCCAGAACAACAAAACCTTTATTTGCCAAGAGGCTGGCTCTGGGTTCAGTAAGCCCTCCACCTAAAGTGTACAAATCCACGATTCCAGGGAATGGACCCTTTCCTGAAGAAAAAAAAACATTGATTTAAACACCAACACTGTTCCAATTTTTATGTATATTTCTCAACTCTCCTGTAAGTTAAACACAACTAACCTGGTGGTATGAAGAGGACTCCTCGTATCCGGCCCTCTTGCACAGGTATTCTCTTCATCCCTTCTGTCATGTATCCTCTCTCGTTGGTTTCAGAGCTTAACAGCTCACCAGTCTCCCCACACAGTGCTGCTATCTCCACCTGTGTTGGGCTGAGCACATTCTTCTTCAGGAGTTTACTGTGTGGAGTGTCTGGTGCCATGGCCCAAAACAAACCCATGGGCTCCACTCCGGTGTAACTTCCTCCCAGAGAAGGTGCATTGCAAACATCCACCTGGCCAGTTTCATCTGCTTTGTACTGGGCAGAGGCCTTGAAAATCACCCCTCTGTCATCAACCAACTTGGACCTTAGTTCCACTGGTTTTAAAGGAGCAAGTCCCTCTACTTTTATCTGCACCATTTTATCAAACAGGCAACGGACGCTGGGGAGAATTTTAAGCCGGATCTGTGAGTAGGCCATTTTAGTTCCTGAAGATGGGAACAGTGACTCACCGTAATATATCCTTTCCCTTTCTTAGGGCCTTTATTTTAGTCTTGTTGGTCCAGCTCTATGGTCACTGCATCTGTCAAGACAACCAAGAATTGAGTGAATATCATAGATTTCACAAAAAAAATCAACTCTATATGTGCCTCAGCACTATCAAAATTGTTATTGACAAATGTTGCATGGATTTTTCTTCTTCTAATTGGAATATTTAAACATTTATTTGATGCTGCAAGAAATTAATTCAAGTTTTAAATGAATACATTTATAGAACCTGAGTAAATCATCTCACATAACACAAACCCCATTTTACATTTTTAATAAGCATATTCTTCACACGTACGAAAGTTCAAGTTTGCCTGTTTGCCTGTGTTTAAAGTTCCTTCACTAAATGTAACCAGGAGCACTATACACTCAAGAGACTGTGCATCAAAATCCCTGGAGATGAGTAGTTTCAGAAATACTAAAACCAGCCTGTCTGGCACCAACAATCATGCCACAGTCAGAGATCACATTTTTTTCTCCATTCACATTTTTGATGTGAACATTAACTGAAGCTCCTGTCCTGCATCTGCATGATTTTATACACTGCACTGCTGCTACATGATTGGCTGATTGGATGAATAGGTATGCGTACAGGTGTTCCTAATAAAGTGATTAAGATTAAGACAATTGCACGGACATTTTGAGGCAGGTAAAGCGTGTTTTTGTTTTTTGAAGGCCAAATGTAAACTGCGTTCAGTCACTTACCACCTTTCACCCAGATAATATCAACTCCGTGACAGACAATCACATGAGCAACACTGACCGGTTCAATTTGAAACAGACTAGATAAACATTAGCCATGCTACTGCCTGTTATAGACAACGTGTTTCTGTAGCTAACTGAGAAATGCTTTGGGGGGTCTTCGGTTGATGGAGAAAAGTGCATTCAGGGACAGGGTAATGTCTAACTGGGTGAAAGGTCGGTAACACAGCTCACTGTTTCCCAGACGAAAGAATTACCAGCGATAATTGGTTAACAGCCAAAACACAAGCACTAACTGTATTTTATGCATCCACTCCTTCTGTGTGTGTAGTATATTTAGCTAGCTAGTTAGCAAGAAAGTAAGTTTGCAGGTTTCAGTTTGACTATGGTCTTTGTTTTTGTTTAGCGCCTTTGTTTTGGTCAAACAAACGAACGAATGACAAAAGCGAACAATAATTTGAACCATACTGTTAATGCCTGTTAAAAAATATTATCTCCAACCACCCAGAAAGTGACAAGAAAATCAAACGTGTACAACAGTTAAGCATTATTGTGTACAAAAGTAGCACGTACCAAGCAGGCAGCAACTGGGCGCAACCACTTTGCCAAGGAAAGGGGGGAGTCCCTATCAGCTGCTTCTCTTCTCCTGTGCTGTCTCTCTTACACTAGTAGTATGTCAAAATCGTCTTTTAAAATATGTGCTTCCTATAAAAATTCACGTTACTTTCAAATATGAAATAAAATTAATAATCTATCTTCATTTTTAATAATTCCCCAACAAACGTTATCGACTCAGGAACCGATATATAGGTAGGAAGGTGATGCATCCACTAGATGTCAGCACTGGCACAGTATAAACACTGGGAGGGCTTGGCAGATGAGTAGCATTTCTATTTCCATCTATTTTCTATTAATCTCCTAACACAGTATTTAGAGAATGCACTGGTCTCAATGATGTGGACACAGCAAATTAACAGTACTGTATGCTGGGAAACTCATTTGCACCATATGTGTTTTCTCCTTAGGTGAAGATGATATGATAAGATGTTGAACCACCTCCTTGCATATCATAATGAGCACAACAGTAGGACACTAGGTTCTGTTGCCTCTTGTTTATCGGATAGACCTGTGGGTGTCTTTTCAGAGACTCTTTACAGGACTCAGGGGCATGTCAAGGTATTAAGCTGGAGTTTTATCCTATTAATCAGTGGTTGGCCAGTGCCAGGACTTCAAAATCTATTTTATCACAGACTTCTTTTAAGGGAAAGGGGTTACGAAAAGAATTTTTCATAGCCAAAGAGGGTAAATTGAGACAGGACATGGGTGTAACAGGAGATGGGGGGGGGGGGGGGGGGTTTAGACTAGGAACTGGAGAAAGTGAAAGTAGAAGTGGATTTAATAACTTAGAACTAACAAATCTGTCAACATCTGAATGTTAGTTTTAACTAACAGGCTAGTGATGTAATTTTGAACATTGAGGCATTGTGGCATCATTCTTCCTTAGTGTGCATTTTTACACACAAAGAATCACCTCTTTAGTTATTGTTGGCATAGGATCTTACTCCCTATAACAACCATTGCATGACATGATTCATATGACTGGAGTGGACCTTTGCACTGTTTACTACGGCAATAATATCATAACATGTACAGAGACAGATTATTTACAGTAACATTTAAGTAGGACAATAGGCTACAGAGAATATTTAAAAGTAGAAGGAAAAGACATAAAGCTGTAAAATACAAATTAATTTACCATACTCAACATTAACATGAGTGTAGTTTCTTCTGAGAGCTTCATACAGTGCATTAGACACTGAGGATAAAGGGCAGATTACTGTATGATATAGTTCTGGTCTCTAGTTTGATGACAGATGTTTGCAAATACTTTATGAACTTTATGAACCTACAGGAAGTAGGCAGGGATTTGAAAAATAAGTGACTGCCTCTTTTGATGTGTCTTCACAGTGACGCATTTGGTTTAGCAAGGTTATAGTGCAGAGTGAACTGCATGAGAGATTTCACTTCCTTTCCCTGATGAGCTAGTGAAATTAAATTTTCCACACATTTGTTCTCATCTATCTTTAATTTGCCAGTGCAGTGTGTACATGTAGCACTATATTGTACATTATATAATCAGATTTACTAACTTTCTTTATGCAAGTACTGGAGTATAGATCTAATGCATATGCACACTGTGATGATGTACAGTACTTTTTCCAGCCATAACAGCTACAAAGAAAAACCATATCAAATGATCTAATGAAACGCCCTTACAACAGCCAAAACTCTTTGTGAAATGTCAGAGAGGATAGAAAGACAAAGTCCTGAATTTATTTCCATCTTTGTCCCTGGTGTTTAAACAGTCCAACAATGTCCAACATGGCATTAAATGTCTGACATTAAGAAATAAATAGACAAAATAGAAAATAAAAAGCCAGAAAATGTGATTTACATTAGTAACCAATACTATTTTTCAGGAAGCAGACATGGTAAAAGTATCAAATTGTAAAAGACCATGGTTGTAGGATATCAAGATGCCATCATTAGTGTACAAAAAAGTAACATACAGACACAAAACATATTAAGATATCCAAAGACAAATCATCTTACAGCAAGGAACTTGATATAGTGACTCTTGAAAAGAAATATACATCATTTTGCTGTGCTTAGTGATGATTTGTCTGTAAATGTTTTTGTTTACATACATGCGATAACTGGTTAGGGTTAGGATAAGATTGGGCTCAGGTTACGCATCATATGACATAACTAGTTAGGGCTAAGGTGAGGTTAGGGTGAGGTTAAGGTATGAGGAAACACCTATCAACGCCAACCATAATATTTTCACCTTATACTTAATGGGATGCCCAAACTTTTCCATATGCCTTCACTGTTTAATTTTTTAAGATAATGAAATAAAACCTTTTAGGGCATTAACATTTGAAGGGTGGCTCAATTTTTCATGTCTGTTTGCTGCAGGGGTTGTATTTACTTATTTTCACTTAAAGAAGTCAACATGATACGATATGTGACTTGCCCAGACGTTTGCACACAACTGTAACTATAGCTAAATACAGTTTTGATATGTAGTTAAGGCATTTGCAGTTTTTATTGTTCTAGATTTTGATGTATTTTTCTTCTAGTGGATTCTTTTGTCTCCCCACCTAATTCTGTGCTCTTATTTTGAAGTCGAGCCTTGTGGTTTGGCTTGACAGATTAGGATCCGCCCTTTTAACGAGGTAGCCATGGAGACCGCGCGAGAGCGAGGCAGCTGGTAGAGCCCTCACAGAGAGTGTTTCCGCTCACCTAAAATAAAGAGCTGACGAGCCGAGGACGCGGAACAACGGAGCAGTACTGACAGAACTAGACGACGAAAACATTATATTTTTGTTTTATTTTGCCACATTCTCGTTTGGGTGTCTCCATCTGAACAACCGTTAATGCCTCGAATGTGAACGAGAGAGAGGGGAGAGGCTCGCTGCTGGTAACCTTTACGTTGGTGAGTCTTGTCTGTTTTTTTTTTTTGCAAGCTAAGCACAGATAGGCCACTACGAAATCTCCTGCTCTCTTCTTTATCTCTCCACCCCCTGCCTGTTTTGGTTCATTACATAATTATAAACAAAAATAAAATGTCGCAACGATTAATAACTTATCATGGAGAATAATGAGTTGTCAATTTTGTTTGCTTGTTGTTAATTAAGCTAACCGTGAGCTGTGACAAACGTTAATAACTGTTAACGTTTGGGTAAATGCTGTATTTTGTTTCTGTCAGGACTACCCTATAGTATTCAGCTGGATATATGTTTTTATCAGAGGGCATATTCTATCATGACAAAGTGCTTAGAAATACTGTAAAACAGAAAAACCGGTTTTAGCAGCTAGTCAGTCCTGCCTTGTCTGAAACAGCTGTAACGTTACTGTATTGTTACATTTCGGTCATGTGAACAATAATCGCAAGAGGTTCGCTGGGGTAGTTAATAAAACCGTTGTCGCATAATATCCGAATTATACATGGTGTATAACCAATATTCTACCTGAAACAAAGCTCCAGCAATTGTGTGGGTAGCTATTTTACTTTGTTAGAATGAGGTTGCTTTGGGTTTGTCTTTGTTTTTGTCCGTCGTTATGTGTGTGTGTGTGTGTGTGTGTGTGTGTTGGCAGCCCACCACACTCTTTGTTTAAATAGCTCGCAGTACAGTTGCACGTGTCGAAGCGTGTGACTCTGCTTTAAGGGGCTGCTATGAACACAGTTGACCACGTCTGGTACAGTTGCAGGGATGTTTTAATGAGTTTTGATGGTCCCTTTCCTCAGATATTTGCGGTATACTGTAATTTCCCACTCCCGAGCTTTTGGTCTTAGAAAAGTTTCAGCGGTTTGCCTCGTTTAGTAAAAGATGACATTTTGCCATTGCAAAAGTCAGGGAAGTCCAAATGAGAGCTGTCGTTTATCATGAAACATACATTTCGAGAAACCACTGATGTTAAGGAAGTATTCAATTCCCACTAATGTTTCCACTAAAAATAGCTTCATTTTCTGTGTTTAATATAGGGCTTGGATTAATGTTTTCATCAAATCGTTGTTCAACACATGTTGTTATGAGAGTTGGGGAGAATATAAGTCTGTCATCTGTCCCATTTTGCCACATCATTTATATAGTCCATTGTATGTGATATGTACTGCTGTTACTAACATCTGTTTTCATTTTCGATTAATCTTCCAGTTACTTTATCAATTAACTGTTCAATTAGGTGGTCTGACCAACATTAGAAACAGTAGATTTTAGTTTGATTTTTGCATAAACTTGATGAAGTACCTTGATACGTCATGGTTTCATTTGCTGGATTAGCAATTTAACAATTATGTCTGGGTATTTCATCCATTTACAATTTCTCAATAGATTTTCCTGTATTAACTGATACTATGGATTAGTATCATATAAAAGTGCATTTACCATGATTTATGAATTTATCCATATTGTCCATCCATAGAGGTATTTTTTTTTCTTTTTCACAAAATTAATTATCACAACTGTAAATTCAGTCTGTTCCCATAATTATAAATCCACTGTCAGTGAACATTGTCCTGCTCCTAAGCAACTTTGTTGAGCAGTGCAGTGTTCACCGACCAACTAACATGCTATTTGCACTGAGTCATTGCTCCACTTTGTCGCTAGAAAATCAACCTGTGTGATTTTTAATGGCAGCCATTATTTTATGTGGTGTTGTGCCTGCTTCTATTATTTCCTGTTAGGTTATAATGTTTTTAATCCTATCGCGCCTCTGAGTTGTTGATACAGTATTTGAAGTGTTCAACAATATGTAATATGTTACTTTGCTGGACAGCGCTCTCTACTTTTTATGGCTTGATTCAAATCTAAATATGTTTTTCTTTGCAGAATTGATAGGAGTATTTTTGTGTTACAATCACTCATCTGACTTCCATTGTTTGGACTGACTTGTTTAGTTTTTACACTTTGTACATGCTCTGGCTTTCACAGAGTAACTAGCAGACATACAGTGTGCAGCTTTAATGGTTCTCAGTTTCAAACACATTGTGTAACTGCATTGAGAGTTTTATGATTCCTGGTCCAGCATTCAGAGGCTTTGCTGTTTGACAACATAGCTTAGAGAAAACATCTTGTGAGTAAAGATAAGAACATTGTTTGGCTTCAGTCCCATTCTCAGATTTTCCTACCTTTTACCACTGTCAACATAACATTTGCCATTGTTTCTCTCTTTTTTAGTGTGATTCCCCTTTCATTGTCTTGTTTCATCTTACTTCTCTCCCCTTAAGTCCTCTCTTCCTTATCTCTTTTTTCTCTTCTCTATTTTTGTGTCTGTTTCTGTCCCACTCCTTAAGGAAGTGCAGAAGGATGCTCAGGCCCTGTGGGGCTTAACACTACAAAATGCTTCATAACAAAGGGTCTTTTCAGCGCTGCCATGCAGAGTCCCATCTCTGGGCTCCCTCCGCAGGCCCAGACGGGCTCCACCAGCAGCAGTAGCATTGGGGCCTATTGGGTGGAAATCTCCTCTCGGCTGTTTCTTTGGCACACTGAGTGCTCTCTGTTCCCGGACACATGCCTGTGCTGCTGCTCTCCTTGGCTCCCTTTGCATTCCAGGAGCCCCGGGCAGCTGAAAAACTGCAGTAGCAGCCTGCTGGCTGGCTGGTTGTCTCACTGGTGTCTGAAGTGGAGAGTTGCATAGTTTTTTCCCCAAGTGGCGGACTAAAGAGACAAAGTATTAATGCTGTAAAAACTCAACTTTCTTAATGCACTGGATTGAAACATGGCCCACACAATCAATAACAAGCATGGCTTGACATAGCATCTAATGATTATTTTCGTTATTGACTATTATTTTGTGATGTTTTCTGATATTATTGTTTGAGCATTGAAATGTACAAAAACAGAACTAACGTCTGGCATAACAAAGGCATGTTGCTGTTCATAAATTTTTAAATGGCAACAGCGCATCTTCATTATGAGCTGGCCAGATTGATGATGATGTTTGATTTCAACACAGCTTCACAACAGCTTTGTTCTGGTTTTGGCAGTATTTTCCTCATAAGGGTGCCATTCCCCTCTATCCCGTAAATCTGACAGAGAGCTGCAGATTAGAGATTGTACAGTGTGCTCTGCTCCTCCATATGAACATAGCAGTAAGCTAGAACTGGCAACGCTAGTTTTGTTGGATGGTTTGGTGTCTAGTTTTGCCTCTTCTTACCCTGTTGCACAAAATGCTATTTTCTTTATTGGATTGGAACAAGTGATCACATTGATTATGGTGACCAATTAAGCCACACATTGATTATGGTGACCAATTAAGCCACATGCCACTCAGAGCTGACAATAATTCTTCATGTATTTTATATAGGTCTAGTTGTGTTTTCTGAAACTAACAGTATTTTGAAATGATTTAATCTGGGTCCTAGACTCACAGAGCTTTATTTAATATTAAAAAAGGAAGTTGTCCTGTTCTTTTGTATGAAACCTTGAAGTGTGTGCCTTTCTTGGATCTATGTGCATGGGCTGACATGTTTAAAATCTTCAGTGTTTTTTCTAATTAAATCTGTCCAGTAAGCCAGTTTAGATAACTTTTGCTTTGTGCTCATTTATACATTCCTTTAAATTGTCCTGCTGTTATTGCATTCACTTTAAAAAGATACATTCTGTTCTGTCAAATACCCCATTCTATTGGTACTAATATAAATGAAAGTAGTCGTACTGTGATAATGGCTTGAATGTCAGCCATTTAGAACGACACTGATGGCTGCACACGTTGATTGTACATACACCAATGTCATCACATGCCCTAAATTGTGATTTTGGTAAGCTAATGTTACATGGCTTCTTACAGCTGTGGGCAGGAAGTATTTGTTTGTGTGGTTTGGAACAAAATGTTGTTCCAGGAAACAGAAGGCTCACCATCTTTGGTGGTGTCTGACAGGAAACCCACACAGTTGCAAGTTTGAAAGTTAAACTTGACGTATTTCTGAGCTTTTGCTGTCAAACTGCCTGCTGTGTTATTAATCAATTAAATGCATGAACATTAAGTCAGCACATCATGAGATCTGCAAAAAATTCCTTTAAGGCTCAGAACTGTCTTGTTGTAACTAATTGGAACGCTGTATTTTGTGGGATACCTTAGCACAGAGTTAATGACTTTCTCCTTTCTCAGATGCTCTTGTGTGAAAGCAATTAAGCTAATTCTGCTTAAGTTTTCACTTTGCGATCGTACTGGCCGTTCAATACTCTGCCCTCAGCGCTCTCGGGAGGTCAGTCCTGCATTATAAATGCCATCCCAAGTGGTTATTTACATCCCAACAAGTGCCTTTGAACAAAACACGTTATTTTATTGTCCTGCCTTTGACTTTTGATTGTCCTTGATTTTTCTTAGACAAGTTAATGTAAAGCCTATCTGTAACCCAGGCCTTAGCAGCAGTAGTCTGATCCCAACATGGACAAATGAGAAAGCGTCTGTGGATCAAATGGCTGGCACAGGTCCCCTGCGTGTGTTTTTGACTGGCTGCCCTTTGGCTCAATGCAGCAACCAAACTGTCCTGCCAAAACTGACTTGCGTCACTCTCTCCCACTGGCCTGCACCACATGCAGGTATGCCTCACCATCCCACCTACTCTTGGAGACATCAGAAAGGTGGCAGGCAGTAGGGGGCCCTGCTGTTTGTGTGTGTTTGGAATTTTCTGCCAATTTAACTGATCTTCATATTTGGTAATTTGAAATCTAGCCTAGTGCAGGACACTCACACGTGGAAGCACTGGCAGTAGCATAAGATGTCCTGAAGTTGAATTGCAGCATGTAATTAGTACAGAAGGTAGACACACAGTGTCACTGAAACTGGAGTCAATGGTCTGTTGTGAAAACTGAATTTTATTATGACATTGACTAAGAAATTGCATTTAATGTGGATCCTTCACATTACATGATCCACTTAAGGCCACTATTTGCTCTGATGCAGTCCAGTGGACCCCTACCAGCATGTTGTGTGAATGCTACTGGCCAAGCATGTGTTTGTTCACTGTTACTTTCCTCATCATAGTAGCTCCTGATGGTATATGTGGCAGCGCCAGTGGCTACGCGGCAGCTCTGCAATCAAATTTGTGGCTGTCTAACTGCAGCCATGCCATTACTGTAGCCATTAGCTCAGCAGCCTTGTGTAACTGTAATGGGCCCGCTGCCCTCTCTTGAGGATATGCTGCCTGCCAGCCGGCTAGTTCCCTACAAAACGCAGCTACTGCTTCTTCATCCCAGTGTCGTTTAGGTTCCACTGTCCGCATACCCTATACTACGTGCATGTGCATGTCATTTACAAAATGATAGTATACATCTCGTTGTATCCCCACAATCAACCAACAAATGCTTTTAGGAAGTTAGTTAAAGTGGTAACACAGAGAGAGATTAGTGGAGAGAGGATGGGGCTGTTTTTGTCTGTGTGCATATGGCTGTGTTTTTTGTTTTTTTTGTCCCACTGATCACGGAACACAGCATTTGATTTTCCATTTACATGTTAGATGTTTTACATTTACAGAAACCACTTACACTGCACTTACATTGTGCTTACGGAAAAAAATCCCGGATAAAAGGAAAAACATTGTCTGCAATCTATAATAAGTGACGCAAGGAACAAAACAGAAGCTTATTATACTGATATTATTGGCTGATATTGGCTATAAAATACACTTTGCAACTATCATCAGCTTATAAAGTATGTTTGGCCATACGAGTGGTTAAAAAATACTGGGGATATATCAGCAAGAGGCACCTGATGTAGTTATCTTTACATAATATGTCCGTCAAACTCTATCACAGATAACAATCTGCAGCATATGGCAGCGTAGCATCACAGCTGAGCAGCCCGTGGAATAGCATCTGTTTATCACTCAACTGTAAAATACTGTGCCCTTTCTATCAGGACTCTTTAATAACTACATTTGAGGACTCCTTGCTTAGTAAGTGTTTGTTTATGCGCTTTTATAGATGCACAAACAAACTAATATTGAATAACTAGTAAATAAAGTAACAAGTTTTGCTGATCAGCGACATTGGCTAAACACTAGGGAGCAGCCTGAGTCAAAAACTTATTGAAATTTTACTTATTTTATGATGAAGCTACAGTAAAATGCAGATACTTGGACAAGCTCCTCCACTCACCGGCAGGGTTTTAGTAAGAGCTGCAGTTGTAATCGCTGTTTTGTTTTTGAGCTGATTCTCTCGGGCACATTTTTAGCCTCTGTCCCTCTAATGCTGCTACCTCATCAGCAGCAGGGATGTGATTCCCTGTTACATCATCTATGGCAGAGTCTAATTGCTGGTTCATTTAGATTTTGTGGCAAAGACAAGATTGGGGATCGAGGGGGAGATCAGAGTAACTCTCAAGCCACTGCTGCTGCCACTAGTAGATTTTAAAAAGGAGAGTTGTTGTCTGTCTCTCAAGGGGGTGGTTTAATTGTTTTGAGGAACCAACACATGAGAGCAAGAAGTACACAGAGTCATTCATTTAGTTATTGTTATCATCACTAATCCAATTGTTAGGTGATGCCGTAGAGAAAATCCTTTTTTCAGTCACACTCTGTTTCTCTTCCTGTCTTTAAAGCTCTTTCTCTATTCCCTCCTGTCTCTCTGTGTTGCTTTTGGTTACGTAATCCTTCGCTGAATGTTGATAGTAATCCGTGTCCTTCCTCCCCCCTCCCTCTCTATCCCTTCCTCTATGTGGCCTGGACAGGTTAAGCCGTAGAGGACTCTCGCTGGTCGCCAGAAGAAAAGATGTGCGATGGAATGGTAGCGTTTCAGACGAGAGCCCTGTCCTCCTCTTCTTCTCCCTCCACCTCCTCCTCCTCTCTAGCCCACAGGCTGGCTGCCTCTGCGCTTCTCCTCCTCTTCGCCCTGCTCCCTCATGGTCACGCATCAGGTAAGACACAGAGACACAGAGACACACACACACACACACACACACACACTCTTTCTCTCTGTTTCTGCTCCCACATGATACACATCGACTAAACCGCCATCTTCGCCCATCTGTTGTAAATTGATTGAGGTTATTTTTTCCTCGTCTTGCAGGTCAGTCAGATTAAACCGGTCTCTTTTACCCTTGGGTCGGTCAGGTTGCTCTGCCTCTGTGCGGCAGCTGAGTGCTCGATCCCACCCACTCTGTGAATCCATTCACTGCCCTAATGAGTCACAACAGTTTTCCTCCGCTATTGAGTGAAAGAGAGATGGTGTTGTCTGTGGTCACATTGCTGTCATAAGGTTTTAATCAGCCATGACATTTAGCGTCCTCTGAGAGCTTTTAGCGCGGCTAGACAGTTTTGGTTATTACCCCACAACAGCCCTCAGATCAGGTTTTTATTTCAGCCTGAGATCTTAGATAATTATCTTTGAATGTTAGGTATCAGGGTTTAAAATTGAATTGATTGTTATCTGTTGGAGGCATTGTGGTTCAGACATGGAAGTTAAAGTAAACAGAGGTAGTACAGGTATTTATCAGTCACTGCAGGACCTATAAAGCTTGTGTTTTTCTTCTGAAGGAAGACAGTCCTGATTGCTTGTACTCGTCGAACCCCTTCGCTTGTGCCAGCTTTCCTTTCACTTCAGCTCTCCAATATTCCAGTCCCCCCCCCCACTCACAAACACACACTACCTCCACACATGCACTACCCACACACACTCACACACACAGCCAGCTTGTGAAATGTGCCAGATGTCCTTGCCACAGAGAGCAGGCGGACTGTGTATGTATGAATAAGTAAATGTGTGTGTGTGTGTGTGTGTGTGTGTGTGTTTAAGGGTGTGAGGGGGCATCTGGGATGTTTGTAAAGTGTTAATTGATTTTCTTTCTTTAATGCCATAAATAAATGAATGTGTGTGAGAGACAACAGGAGTAGAAAGAGAGATGGGCGGATGAGAAAGGGGAGGGCACTTCCCAAGTGCATCATCTCTCTTGCTCTCCCTCTCTCTCTCTTATGTAACACACATGATTCATGTTGAGCCCAGAGGGCTTGGTATCGTGCTCACGTTCTGCGTCCAAAACACTCACACACATAACACTGCCTACCGATACCAAGGAAATGTGTCCTCAAATCACCAGCCCACGTGCTCCGTGTACTCTATGCGTGTGTATGTGTGTGTATGTGTGCAATCCTATCTTTACGTGTGATCTTCACGTACTCTGGTTATTTGTGGATGTTGTACATAGAATAACATATAAGGCTGTACCCAGAAATTCTGTGACTCAAGGTATCAAAATACAAACCCTACATCAACCGTGTTTATGATAGTCGGTGCATTACTTAGGGACAAATGTGCACCCAAGAATTTCTTTCCAGTACCCATGATGCACCTGCGCCTTTAAGACTGCCAGTCAATTGATGGAAAAGGACAGATAGTTCTCTAGACTCCACTGCAAGGACTATTTTCAACTGGCTTGGTTAAAGGCAGTGAAGTATATGAACTGTGATCTAAACTTTTCTAGACCTACGATCTCATGAGCTGCTTGAAGGAGACTGCATGGACAACACGCCCATTCAATCTAGTTTGTGTTCATTTTGACATTAGCATTAATTCATATTGTAATAAACCAAGTTCTCAGGAATGTAATGGAAAATAATACTCTGAATGAAATGACGACAATACAAAGGTTATTTTTCAGGTGCCGTCATAGCTGTGTATTTTTTAACTTTAGTTACTTCCTTATAGTACATGAGGCAGTTATTTATGCTGACTCACAGTTCAAGAGTTCTGGCTCTTCAAAATGGTGTACAGCCCTTGATATTTGCACTCTTGCGCTGAATGAATACAAGCTAAATATATTAATAACAGTGAATGGCTCAGGTATACAGGTTTCTAGGTAAACTGTTCTGAAACAAATTTTTTTCCCCAACTTGTTAATGATGAATGAGTATAGTATTTCATATTTCTGATGAGTTTTCTGGCATTTTCAATTCAGGCATTTTAGTATGAACTTAAATTTTAATCAGACATCACAAACAAGTTATATTGAGGAATGAAAGATTTAGAGCCTTACCTCCTTGATAACAGAACTAACGGGAAAAAAAGCTAGAAGATATTTTTAAACATAACCTACTGCTCCTTTCCAGCAGCTTTTCTGTTAAGTCCTGATCACGCAAGAAAGGAGATTAAACCGTAATGACTTTCATTGCAGTCAAGAAAACAAGGATACAGCAAAGGAAATGGAGTATAGATAAGAACAATGAGATGTACACACAAGAACAAGACATTACAACAATTACAACACTAAAACAACCAAGACATGAATTTACAGCATTTACAGCATCCATGTATGACCTGAAATCCATAGTTAGTCATCATGTCATTAGTTCTCCTGTTCACTGGCCTCTCTCCTGCCCACCATACATAATTCACATAGGTAATCCCTTGACGTGTTCCAGGGAATTTTCATGAATATGAAATTTCATCACCGCTGACAGGCTTATTCCAGACTCATACAAATACCTGTGAGTGGTATGAATAGAAATGGATACTAAAAAATATACTGTACAGTATTTGCGTACTAGAGCAAAAGCTCCAAACACCAGAGACCAGAATACAGCACAGAGCAGCATCAAAGCTGTTTCTGGTCTGTGGAGGTTTAGGTTCCACTTTTGGTCTTTTTGTAGATATGTCTCTTTTAAGGAAATTTGGCATTTCAGTGATGGTAAATTAGATGGAGAGACGGGATGATAGACCGTAAAGGTTGAGGCATTCTTTGCTTCCCCTTTTGATTCCTTGAACAAAGAAAGGAATAGCTTTAAGCTTCTCCTTTTTGGTGGTTTCATGTTGTTTGTGGAAAGGTCAGGACAACGATTTCTTGTAACTGTTAATAAGTTCTGTTAGGACATAGTGACAAAACCTCTTGGAGCTGAGTTATTTTTAGAACCAATCACAGTCCAAGTCATGTCTTTTTTATCTGTTGTTCAGCTGTTCATTGTAAACAAGATTACCAGCAGGGTATCTGCTGAGCTAATGTAAATGGCTCCCTCAAATTTGTGTTTGTGATTACTGCGTATGATTACATTTGTGTTTATGATGCACGGACATTTTTCCAAACATAGCAGCAACATGCTAAACAAAACATCTCTCCATTCAAGCAGAGTTCCACTAAACACACACATTACAGAGCAGCACCTTGGGTTTTGTGTATGAAAGGATAAATGGCATTGGTCTGGAGGATTTTCAGGGCACAGTGCAAGCATCACTTGTTTCATGTCTTTTCTGAGTCTATTTGACATCCCACTAATGTTGCCTATACGGAGCTCAGTTCCTAATATGATGTCTGTTCCTTACAGTGAGCCTTTGTGGTTTAGTTCAGAGGAAGTGGGCCTAGACAGTGAGTCAGAACTGAAAGAGTGAAGATGGGAAATCCGAGCGCCAAAGGGTCTATTCACATGTTCACACGGCATGTTTTCAGCCCTAACAGTGTTATATGTAAGGAGGCAAAATGACTCTGACCATCGTTGTGGGTCCAGTTAAATAGATAAACGATGCCCTCTAAAAACCCATTGTCCTGAGTTAAAGCTTTACATGAAAGTGCCTGCTAGGACCAGAAGTCTCCCACAAACAAGCCTGCTGTGTGCTCTGTGAGGCAGTGACGTTTATGTATGTTTATGTGTGAGAACGGGAAATGGCTTTCCCTGGGCCTGGAAGAAAAGTAGAGTCATAGGGTAAAGAAAAGAGCAGGGGGAGAGGGGAGGAGAGCAAGAAAGGAAGCAGAGAGCTGCCTTTCTAATTTCCTCTGAGATTTGTGTTTGTTTTTAACAATCGATTGTCCATTCTTGGCTTGAGTTGAATAGATTCCGCTCAGCCTGAAGAAGACCTATTGCACAGTCAGATCCCTTTGTTTTGGCAGTTCTTGAATCAGTGTGTATGACCAACCCAAGGATATGAAGATGTTTTCTCGAAAGCCAAGTTGCTCAAGGAAAAAGACCCAACAACTCTCATTTCTCTTTAATAACAGTGGAGGCTCAAGTGGCTAGCATAGCGTCACTGCTCTGACCACAGAGGAAAATATCTGAATGAGCCATGCCCTACTTCTGGCATCTTCAAACAGCTGTAGTCTTTGAAACTTGTTGCTTTCTGTAGCCAAACAAAATGGTGTGTGTGTACAAAGAAGCCACAGTGTGCAAGTCTGCCTGCACACTGTTGGTTTTCAGCCCTAGCAGAAAAGTTTGTTAAATAGGATGGGTTTACAAACAGTGCAGCCCCAGGGGGTGAACAATGGGTCCTGTGCAATTAACAGTTCAAAATAGTCCCCTGAAGTCCTGTTCGCACGGCATTTTGCAGGCAAGCAGGAGTAAAGCAATACGTTGGCTACTGGCTCCTTTCTGAAATGTGAGAACAAAGAGGGCTTTTAGGGGCGGTGTTGGAAGCCACAGGCCAAACCACAGCAAGCTGCAGCTCCACTAGATCACCAGTCTGCAATTAGGACTGCTAACTCACTGTGTGTGTGTGTGTGTGTGTGTGTGTGTGTGTTTGAGAGAGAGAGAGAGAGACTGGGTATATTGAGCACACCACAGCCCCTTTTCTATGATGTCTCTGTTCTTCGTTTTTCTCTCCCTCTCTCTTAAAGGCTCCAGCCATTAGCCAGGTGAGACCGAAGCCCATTAGCGGCAGTCTGGTCGAATCCATCAGCCTTTCTCTTTCATTACCTGTGTGTTTATCACTTGAGCCATCACTCTCTGCTCTCACCCTATGTCATTTAACAGCTCTCCCACCCAATCAAGCCCTAAAGGGAAACTTTAAATGCCTCGCCAGACAAAGAAATACACCATGGAAACAGATACTGCAGTGCGGACAGGCAAGACCATTTCATCCACTTTAAACAGTTGACCAGACAGTTCCATTACTTTGTGAAGATCCCAGATGGCCAGGATTATTGTTAGCTACACATCG